AAGATAGACAAGTGGCTTCCAATCTTCTTTACAGCAGTTACAATTTTAAATTTACCTTTACTCTATGGTTACAACATAACTCTCTTCTTTCTATAATCTATCCTGTCTAATTATCAAAACCACAAATCATAAGTTCATTTTTTTCTGTTTTACACAAAAAGTCCATAAGGGGTTTCCAGTCAGTGATAAACGTAGATACTGTCTTTTCTCTGATCAAAGAAGTCAATTTAGCCATCTCAACAAGTTCCATCATCTTCACCAACCATTTCTCCATTGTGGGTAGTGCTGAATCTTTCCATCTTTGTGAATACAATAATCTTGCTGCAGTTACATATATAAAAACAAAGTTCCATGACTTTTTCCCCAGCTGTTTGTCCATCAATCCCAAAAGAAAAACCTCTGGTCTCAATTGTATATTAATTTTTAAAATCCTCTGGATCAGTGTATGTATTTGAATCCAAAATTTTCTAGCTTTTTTACACATCCACCAAACATGATAAAATGTCCCTTCTTGTTGTACACATTTCCAACATAATGTAAATTTGAAGTGCCTTCTAATTGTATTCTCGACAATTTCTCTGATGACATATACCAACAGTATATCATTTTATAAAAATATTTGAATCCAAAATTTTCTAGCTTTTTTACACATCCACCAAACATGATAAAATGTCCCTTCTTGTTGTACACATTTCCAACATAATGTAAATTTGAAGTGCCTTCTAATTGTATTCTCGACAATTTCTCTGATGACATATACCAACAGTATATCATTTTATAAAAATTCTCTTTAATATTATAACTTAGTGTAAATTCCAATCCTTTCAACCACATAGAGTTCCATCTGTATAGTATAACCAATGTTTTAGCCCACTTTATTATACATTGTTTCACTTGTTCTTCTGTTTCAAATTTCAATAAAAGTTTATACATTTTAGCAATTGCATGTTCATTATTTGTACACACTTCTGTTTCAAACTCAGTCTTACAATGTTCAAAACCATAAACTCTTTTATCTACTTTAAATCTTTCTGATAATTGTAAATAAGAAAACCATTGACAACTATATCCCTCTGTCACCAGTTCTTCTCTTGATTTTATTTTACATTCCCCTTGACAAAATTGTAGTATCTCACGATAAATTAGCCATTTGTGTTTGGCTATTATTTCTTGTCTATAAAATGGTTCTTGTGCTGAAAGCCACAAAGGTGTTTTTTGGCGCAACCTGGGTTTATATGCATTCCATATTCTCGGTATGGCACGTCTAACATAATAATTTTTAAAATCCACATTAACCTTGACTTTGTCGTACCACAAATATCTATGCCACCCAAATTTCAGGTCATGTTCTTCTAATTCCAAAAGCTGCCTATTTCTCAGCAACACCCACTCTTTCATACAAATCAAACAGCAAGCTGAAAAATATAATTTCAAATCAGGTAAACCCAATCCTCCTCTTTCCTTTGCATCTTGTAACACCTTATATTTATCTCGTGGTTTTTTCCCCTGCCACACAAATTTAAATATATCCTTCTGCCACTGTTTAAATGGTGCATCAGTTGTTAAAACAGGTATTGTCTGAAACAAAAACATTCTAGGCAAAACATTCATTTTTATCACAGAAATTCTCCCCAGCAATGACAGTTGTAGTTTCTCCCTTCTTAACATGTCTTTTTAAACTTCATTCCATGTAGTTATTTTGAAATAATATACAGTGCATATTTGTCATAGTGATACCCAGATATTTTACCTTCTCAATCTTAAAACCTGTTTTATTCATCAATTCTGTTTGATCTTCTGTTTTCATATTTTTGTTAACATCTTTGTCTTCTGTTTATTAATCTTGAAATCTTCTAATGCCCCAATTTTTAAAATTTGCATTATGTTTGTTTTTAATAGTTAATTAAAAACATCAATTCAGTTTTTAAACACAATGTTAAATCTGGACTATATGAATAATATTGGCCAGTCTTTCCATTATGTCAGTATAGAGCCAGTTCACAAGCAGAAAGTGAACACATCTTCAATCCAAGACTGCAAATCCAGAGTAATACCATCTTTCCATCATTAAAAGATAGCTTTTTTTGCTATGCTGCATGCTCAAGATCTGTAATTTTTCATATATTGATGCATTCCAAATGTTGAAGCTATAATTTCAAATGTCATTTGCAGCGTCAAACCAGGTTCTTCCCCAAACTATATTAACATATTTATGAATGTCAAACCAATACAAGAGTGACGCAAGTATCCCCTCTATCATTTTACACTTCCAATTTGATGTTTTTTGCTGACTTAATCTTATCTTAAAACCATATACATATTTAATATTCATTAAGATAGTTAACACTGATGTGTTAATATGGAGTTTTTCAACTCTTTCCAATTAAAATGAATTCTTAATTAGTAGATAGAACTTTGTGGTTGCAGGAAATATGTTTCTGTTAAATCCTATAACTGAGTTACTGATATTCTGAAAATGCCCTGTTTCTCAAGCGGTGGCATGTGGAGTAATATAATCTTGCTTCTTGTCTCTTTAGTTCAATTCTTCAGACTGTGGAGATCGCAAATTCTGTGTGAGAAATCCAACAAACTGTGACCCTAAAGCCAACAATTGCTTCTTTCTCTCCTTCAAGCAAGATTATGACTCACTATTGATTGAAATGAGCGGTCCCAGTGAAGGCTATATCGCCTTTGCATTGTCTCATGATCAGTGGATGGTTAGTAAATCCTCTGACAATCTGGAAAAATGGCATAATCTTCTAAGGCTACTCCTACATTGTGGTTTTAATGGTGGTAATTTCTGTAATGTACATGAGCAAAAGGCTGGTGTTCATCAAAATCTTCTCTCCGTTATTTTTTTATTAAAATGCCCATGATATGTAATGCTTTTCTGAGACAGCTGGCAGCAGCCCTGAGGTATTTTAGGCTGGGAGAGTAAAAAGGTTGTCCATGGGTACCATAGCATCTATTCTATTTGCACTCTGTTAAATAAGCACATGAAAAATGGCCAAAATCTTGTGCAATCATAAACTCTCAGATTCTAGCATTCTTACATGAGATCTTGAGATGAGATTTTGATAATTAAAAATATGGGGAAGAGGGAGATCCCAGACAATCATGAGAGGTCATGTATTAACATGCAAGGTCTGAGAAAATTCTTAACCCTCGATAATAGGATAAATGTTGCATAACTTCTGGCATACTATCTTTTTATTGGGCCAATGGTACAGATATTTAAGGCTCATTTCTTATGGATTTGTTCCTAGACTAGTAAAGCCTTGTATTATGTTCCTGCCAGATTTTTCAGCAACCTGTATTTGTGCATTAAGATGGAATGTAATGTCTCTCATAGCCTTGGGTCTACTAAATAAGAACATCAGTGAGATGCATCTGTAGTTCAGCCCCAACCTAATACCTTTTAGATATATTAAACTACAATTCCCATAATTCTCAGCTAGATGTTAAGGGCATGCCTAATGTAACATGTTTAGAGGATACCATTTTGGGAGGCTATATTAAATTATTAACCTACTCTAGATTTGAATATGGGCCACGTAGACTGACAGAGTAAAGTGGAAAAACAGTTTAATAATTTCTTGTTATTTCCAGGGTGGTGGTGATGATGCATATCTTTGCATTAGCGAAGGTCATCGTGTTGACATCAGTACAGCTTTCCTGATTGGGCGATCTTATCCAGAATTTGATTCAAAGGTATCATAATTCCATGTTATTATAGAGGTGAACTCCGTATACTCTTGTTACAAAAGATCTTGCGCAGTAACCATCATATATCAAAATAAGTTGTCTTGCTATCAAAATTCATGGAGGCTCATGACTTTGTCCCACTTCTGTATGAATTCTTCTTACATCATGGAAAACAACTGCAAAGTTAAAGAAGCTGTGTAAAGGGGTTGTACTGTAGGAAACTTTATCCAGTCTCTGGCTCTCCTCTGCAGAATTGTTTTTATGCATTGAGCAGAGTACTATGCAATGGTGCATTCTAAATTTAATATGTATGTATACAGTTGCTTTATGTAATTATTACATTGCTTAACAAAACAATATATATGGCCTTATTTCAACTCTTTCTACAGAATGTAGATATCGTTATTATTATTCTGCACAGATTAGTGTATCTCAGAGGAAAAATTACTTGCACTATTATCATTTTAGATCCCTAGTTTGATCAATGTATTTGCATTCAGCTGGCTTCATTTTGCAACAATAAATATTAGGAAAACCACTGCCCCATTCTTGCCAAGTTCAGTGTATGCCTGTTTTTATTGGTACTGCATAAAACCTAAGTCACTAGATGATAACAGAGTTACGAGGGCTGTAATTTAAGGTTTCAGGTGTCCTTTGAATGATACAGTTTCAGGATTCATTTGAAGGATCCAGTTTTTATGTAATTATCTGATCAGTAGGCTTAGCAAGCTCCAAATTGGCTGCTGAAGAATGATCAGACTAGTTATATGTTGGCCAAGGATTGAAATTTTCATAAGTCAGCAGGATGGTGCTGAAGACGTTTGAGAACGCCTCTAAAGTTATAATGAGAAGCAGCCATGACTTGTCTTGCTAAATATTTCTCATCTGCCTCATAAAAATCCAGCTAATTAAACCTGTTTGGATTTGGTTTGTACCTTCTTTGATAGTGATAAGTTCTGATAAGTTTTTGACAGCACCAATCACAATATATGTGGTGGTTTATCTTTTGTTAAAGCTGCATTGCCTATTTCTTAGAATGCTTTGGAGAAAATGTCTTGGAGGCTGGCTGATGGCCTTATCCAGTGTTCTTTCAGAAGAAGAATTCATCTTCCAGTTGTTACAGGAAGGTTTAATCTAGATGCAAACTACTACATATTTCTGGCTGATGGTGAAGTCGGTGAAGGTAAAAAGTTTATGACTATAGGAAAAAATCTGCCTGAACATTGAATTAATATAAGTTCCATATCAGGTATATTTTTCATGCTGAGTTCCAGGCATTAGTTGGTCTTCACTTGTTGCCAGTTAATGCTTGGGTTGAAGAAGGAAAAATGCTTCTCAATCCATGATCACTGTAAATGGGACTTTGGAAGAGCCTTATTAATAGGTATAGATAAGGGAACATTTCCCTTCCCTGAGTCTTTAACGTATTGGATATGTACTCCATTGAGTTATGCCATGCTTGAAATTGCTTCAGTGTGAAACCAATTTTCCTAAATAAACTCTTTTCCCTCTCCTAATATTATTGGTACATGAGGTTGAATCTGTGATCTTCCTGTTGCAGATCTGGGACATGAATAGCTATGGAAATTTCATCTAATATTTCATTCTTCATTTTTAACAAATGCCCAAGCAGTTTGCCCTAGACTGCTGCTTGCCAGAGGTGCTGGTCTATGACTCTCATCATTCCCAAACAGCATTATTATTGTACTGGAAAATGAAGCCGAGAGTTGTAAACCAACACATTTGGAAAGTAAGTCTTAGCCATAAGTGAGATTCTGATGTCTTACAAATCTATCTATCTATCTATCTATCTATCTATCTATCTATCTATCTATCTATCTATCTATCTATCT